AACACTATGGAGAAAAAAAAAATAGAAAAGCGGATTGGCAATATGATGTATTTGGTGAAAGGCGAAAAATTCACGTGCAGTAACCAGATCAGACGACATTTTTCAGACGTGGTTGACAGTGGTCCCACGGAAAAAACACCGATGGAGGTGATTTTCAGTATGTTTGATCTAACAATGCCTGCAATAATTTTACTGGAGGTACGCCGATCCAGAAGAAAAAAGAAAGGCAACTGATCATTTAAAAGTGAAAAAAAAAAAAAAAACGTAGGAAATACACTACGATGTTGCTAAAAAAAAAAAAAAAATCTTTTTTTGTTGTTTTTTCTTCATATTTCCTGTAAAAAAAAAAAATGAAAAATAAATAAAGAAAACTGGTTACTCCTACGGAGTAAAGTTTTAGGGGGGGATGTTATAGTGGAACACATCTATTCTATTGTTAATAGACTCTCCCACCTATAATAAGCAGGAGTAGTAGCAGTCGCTAAGTGAGTTGGTCAGTCAGTCGATGTCAGACGACCGTTAGTCGGATACTAAAGTATCAGCGACCACGACTAGATATCAAGTTCCTAACATTTTGTATGTCGAACCTATTTTAGGACCGACTTAGTGAAATACAAGCCTCCACTGTGAAACTACAACAGTTACATGTGCTATCCATTTTAATTGTTGCTGTTGTTCATGTGATATGGTTTCTGTTATTTGCTATAGTTTGATTTTGTAGCACCAAGTCACAAGGTTCATAGAAGAATGATCCTTCTAAAACCTACAGGTTTAATTTGCTTGAAGCCATTTTTAACCATTGATCTGAGAAAGTGATTGTATACATCTGACAGTTGATATATTTCTGAATGTGTTTAGTTCCATGCATGACATCCATACAAGTTTTGATTTGACAAGGCTATTTAAGAATATAACTTGAGTTTTTAGGTTACTGTTTTGTAGCAAATTGTGTTGTTGGGCTAAAAATATTTTATAACTGACCCATACACCAAGGTATTTGAAGTGTTTACTAATTCCACATACAGAATTTTTATATTTTTTTATCACTGCTTTCATTCCAATTCCAGATCATATTTTCTGTTTTGGAAAGAAGTCCAATTTCTTGGAATACTTGGAAAAGCATGTTGATGTTTTGTTTAAGATCATTCTTATCCCAACTATGAAAATACCTATGTTCATCATTGGCCTCAGAAGGGAAAGTAGGATCATGGTTTTCTATTAATAGATTTGTTTGGGATGTGGGATGGAAAGCTTAAATTATTAGTGCCCATCTTTCCACTTGTGTGCTTGTAAGTAATATTGTTGTGCTACTCACTCAAAGGAAGACTGAACTTGAAAATCAGCATTCAAAAATTTGCCCTTTTACCTATTCTCTGAACTATTTCAGCCACTAATGAAATGTAGGTAATTCTCAAAATGAATTTTATCAGTCTTAATCCTAATACTTTATTCAACTTACATGCAATCTTTAAAGCTCTCTTATTAATAAATATTAAGCTTGCTACTGCACTTTGATCCTAGTGCCAATAATCAATGTTTTTTGAGTAATTAGATAAAAACTAATTACACTTTATCAACATTTCCACACATAGGATTTCTCCCTCTTACCAGATGTAACAGCAAAACTGTCCAAATTATGTAATAGCATGGGATAATTGTCCATCCCATATAATGTTTAATATCTAAAAAACCTCTAAACTAATGGAGTTTCTTTTTTCCAGGTTTTCAGATAAGACATTTAGCCATCTTGAAACCATTTGTCGTAAGAATCACTGAAAAACCCTTCAAGTTATTCAGCTAGAAAGAGAACAGGTTAAAATCACTTTGTGTCATCCCCACTATGTCTTCCCAATGGAGAAATGAAAAAGATCATTCAGGCCTTCAGTAAGGGTACCAACATTCATACTCTGGCTTCCATCTTCAAAGTCTATTCAAGAACCATCAAGAGAATAGTGAATAGGTTTAAAAAAGAAGTAACAGTAGAGAGGAAAACTGGATCAGGAGGTCACAACAGCAAGAGGTATCATTATTTCAACATAGAGCTAAATACATTCTTATTGTTTAAAGTAGTCTAATAGTGTTATAAAAAAAACTCAGAGAATTCCACTAAGATTATCTTTAATCATTTCTAAGATACAATGGTTCAAATCTTAATCTAACTGGACAATTTTGCTGTTACACCCGGTGTGTGTGTGTGTGTGTATATATATATATATATATATATATATTGACAATAATGCTCCAAAACATCTTTTAACAATCAACAGTTAATAAACAAGTCTTAGTCTTGCTTATATTTCAGTGTTTATTCAAATTGTCTTTTGAATATTTTAGAAATTAAAAATAAACGCTGAAAAAAATCAGTAACTTCCTTGTTAATCAAATATTGATTACCTACAACTATGTTTTTTACTATGGTTTTCATTATATATCAATTATAAATGCATCTATTGTACTCAATCTATCATATTTGAGAGCATATAAAATCCCCTATTTACATTTTAAAATTTAGGCTAGTTACAAAGATTGGAATCTATGATGTTTGGGTAAACATTAGCTTACCAAATATCTCACCTTTGCATATAAAGATATTTTTTAACTTTCCCTTTCTTTTTAAAAGAGAAGGGAGGATCTTATATGCTATCATATATGATGTATCTTAATTTTCCTGTGAACTTCACATTTGATTCACTACTAACAAAGAGAATGATCATTTTCAAACAAAAATCTAATTTATAACTTTATAACACTTTATATAGTTTCCTTTCAAAGAAATTGCTGGCAGTATCATTAGATTAGCATTAAAAAATGACAAATACAAAGTAGATGATAAATATGTTTATTATCTTTCACAAATAATTTGTTTATTCAGTTTTTCATGCAAATGATGTGGTATAATCATTTTTTTTTACCTAACATATTTCCAAGATACTATTTTCCTAAAACATTAAATGTATTATTAGTCTTTTTAGAATCCATAGAAAAATATGAATAGAATTTCATAAGTATCAAGATCAGAGAAAATTTAAAAACTATTTTTTCATTATTTTTTACAACAGTATCACATGAGCTGACCATCTTCCTGAAGTGTGAGAATATATGACTTCTAGTATACAAACAATGATTTAATATTCTTATAAAATCTACCATTTTATGCTAGCTTCTAGGAAAAAAGATACTGAATTCAACTGTCAGTTTTTAAAATAGGTACCTCCACCTGGTTGAGTAAAAACAGAATAGCATGATGAAAAAAGGCCCCAAACTCAATAATGTCATCAAAATGTTTGCGGAAAGACCAAAGTATTTTTTTTATTTTTTACTCCCTTGTAGCACATAGTAAATTTTGGTTAAAAATCTTGTTTTTTTTTTTTTTGTGTGTGTGTGTGTAAATTTTATTATGTCATGGCAGACCAAAAATAAAGGTAAGTTTTTTTTTTTCATTTTTTTCTGGTGAAAAACACACGTATTTGGAAATTCTTGCAAAATTCAAATAATTGTCAGATTTTAATGAAACTTTCAAGATAAATTCAGAAATGAATTAAATTATTTTTGAAATTTTTATTTTTTTTTTTATAGAAAATCTTGGTAATTTTTTTTTTTTTTTTATTATATGTTACCACCCACTTACTTAATTTCATGAAATTTTGGGGAGGAGATTTTTTTTTTTTTATTAGTTAAAAACAGGACTCTTGGGAGAAAGTAAATCAATTTTTTTTTTTTTTTTTGTAAAAGTTACCAGTTTCATAGAAAATCTGTTCTGAATTGTAAAATAATAAATGCAATAAAACTATGACATTATTTAGTTAGAAAAGGTTTTAATTGCTTTTGTATCATATGTATGTTATATTAAGAACACTATTGTATAAAGAAAAAAAAATTTTCAATGAACAATGAATTTTTAGAAGAATTTTTCCACTTCTTAAAAATTTTAATTATAATAATAGTTCAAAAATCACTTAAAATTCTTCATTGCTTTCAAGACGGCGGTTTGGTGATATTGTTAAGTGAAAAGTACATTTACAAATCAAAATTTGAAAAGCTCATAACAGTCGTTTGTACTCAAATATTTTTTAAATTTCTAATTTCTACCTATGGGAATCTATACATGACAATCCTTAAAAAGTTCACGTGATTTAAGTGTCATCTGACGCACTGCAATTATTTCACTTTTAATTCAGTTCTGTTTCATCATTAACCTCTTTGCAAATCATCCCTTCAAAATATAAAAAAAAAAAAAAATTAATTTTCTTAATTGCTATTTCACTAAATATTTTTATTTTATGTATTTATTTTAGTTTGGATCATTTGTTTAAGGTAGTAGACTTAAGAACCCAGAGACGAAATGCAAATTTCATAAAGCTTCTTGAAACCTAAAGTATTAAATAATTGCTGAACATATGTTAATTTGTAAAAATTACAAGGTAGTTAAATACCGAAAAGAATGTGTTCACTTGGATTTCGTAAATTTGTCATTTCTGATCATCTGTAAGAGCTGTCATCACCTTGAGAGCTTCTCGATAAGTCAATAAAGATCAAAGAAAGAGGGGACCCATCATTTAAGTAATATTTATTTAAAATCAGATTAATTTAACTTTAAATTTTCTAATTTTACTCAAATAACGTCACAAATCTATAATTTTGAAAGATCTTTAAAACCGATAAATTTGTCTGTTTACAAATTTCTTAAAATTAAGAAAATAGCCGCTTTAAAAAAAAAAAAAATCGAGCAATTATTTGACATTCCAATCTATATAATAACTTCTCTGAAATAGACCAGAATATTTTACTTACTGGAAATAATAAATTTAATCATTTAGCTTTCAATTAAAACTCAAATGGAATCTTCAAGAATACTTTTTAAAATTTAATTTTAAACCTTAAAGCTATCGAAAATTAAGTGGAGGTACCTAAATCAAAATAAAGTAATAAAATCTGCTGCTTTCTTTTCTTCATTGTCCATAAAACACCCATCTCAAATATAGAAGATTTCAATACAATGCTCAACTAACTAAACCTAGGTAATCGTCCATCAAAGTACCAATAGCAAAAATGTCCTTTGCATCAACACGTGTACCAACAATTTTGATGCGTATTTCATCATCTTGTTGAATGACAACGTCTTCATCTTTTGTCTTGTAACAATGTGGGTTTGAGTTGGGATCAAATTCCATGTCTGCCGGGATTGAATGACGAGAGATGAAACAAGATAGTGGACCAATTTCAGTGAACAGACCCACTTTATTGACTTGGGTGACCACTGCATCCAAGACTTCACCTTAAAGTAAAAAATAAATAAAGAAATAAATAAAACAACGTAACACAAGTAAAAGTAAAACGGTTATCCTGCGTCGGATTCAATTTCTGCACGTGAAGACTTAGATAAATTTATTAATACGTAACCGTTATGAAATATAATATATCTAAAAAAAACATATGGAGTGCTTAATATAGTCATATGAAAACGAAATTTAAAAAAAAATGATTTCTGGTTGCAGTGCTTATCGTACAACTCCAAGTGCCTAAAAAATGCAACTGAAAATAAAGTAATTCCGGATTTTTTCCAAATATTAGAAGATTAAAACCTGCAAAGTTTGCAAGTTATTTGTTTAAGGTTATAACCTGCCATTAAGTAAATAAAACAGATAATGTTGACTTTTCTTCTTTTTTTTTTACCTTTAAACGGTCGGAAAACAATTGCTTTGTATTTAACTGGGTAGACTACAAATCCCCGACTGGGCTGTATAAGTCCAGCTCCAATGTTGTCTATTGTTGTTACGGCGATAACAAAGCCATATTTTCCTGTACATGTCCCTTCCACTTCAGTAAACAGTTTCTTTTTCACAATATTCAATAAATTTGGCCCAAAATAGCGAGGGTGAAGTAAAATTTCATGTTCCAAAGATACGTGGTAAAACATTTCCTGTAACCGCCAACAATTTAACAGAAATGAATTAAACCCGGTGTTGCACGAGATCGGTGTTCTCTAACAATAATACCGCATTAAACAGAACGCCATTGACATTCAAGCTTTTTTTTTTTACATTCATTGAACTTTTTATCTAACATCCACTATTTAATATATAAATAATTCCCTATGTTAAAAATATATTTTAGGTAATTTTATCCTTAATCCCAAGAATAACTTTCTGTGTAAATTTTTGGAATGAGGAGTTATTATTTTCAATTGGACAAATGTTTTATAATGTTTCAGTAGTTACGCCCTCTAACTTTAAGGTGCTTGTCGATCTAGTGTTGGAATTTAATTTGAGAACAATATTTTTTTACAAGTTCACATTCTCGCTATTTTTCTATCCTCACTCCAACCTCTTTTTAACTTTCAAAACCGGCTCCCAAAGCCTTGATTCTTATCAGAGAGATAAGAATATATTTTCTGACTAACAAGAGAGCTGGAAAATATAAAAAGGAATTCCACCACCATTATTCTTTCCATGGTGCCATAAAGTCTGGAGGAAACCTCACAGCTCGTTCACTCCTACTTGTTTTCATTACTTTCAAAACCGGCTTCTAGAGCCCTGATTCTTATCAGAGATAAGAATATATTTTCTGACCATTGAAAGGGACAGGATATTTGATTTTGGAGAAAAAGTCCCTGATTCTTCTGAGCCTAACAAATCTCCATAAATTTGGAGAATCTTTGCCTATTTGGCAGTGAGACTTCAGCCCACCCTCTGTAAGGTCGACGATGGGGAACTCCAGTCAACTTCAGAACCACTTTCAACCAAAGATGAAATTCCTGCCGGGCTGGAGAGACAGACCGTTAGCCCACTACTAAAAACCAATTGAAAGCTGCATCCCTTCACCACTCCTTCTCTCGTGCCCACTGGACTTCTGTCGTCGACCTACGAACTCACTCAACTGCAAGATTCCTATATCTACCAACAATTTTTCTACTCTACAAGAACTGTGAGTGTTTCTAAACCTTAACAAAATTCTACTTGCTTAAAGAACTTTTTAGGTGCTCAGAGAAATATTTTGAGCAAGCCTTTTTTCTGTTATGAACATTTTCTCTTCTCCCTTTCTTTCACTCCTAATTGTCTTTATCCCTTTACCCGTTTTTCTATATATGTAAATAAACACTTCTTTTATTATTACACACCGAGCTGGAGTTTTTTCTTTATTTGTCTGCACCTAAAAGAGAGAGTTTGTCCGCTCTAATCTTACTGCTTTTTACTCGCGTTTTGTCGCAATTTTTTAGCCTCAACCCAATTTTTTAACCTCAACCCTTGGATGCAGGAAAGCCGGGACAGATTTCCCAGCACTAGGTAATATACATCTGTGATTTTTTCAGTCTCATATGAAGCTAGTTTTTTGTTAATGTCATTAAAATTCTGTTTGGTCTTCATACCTCCCTATTTGCTATATTTGACATTCTATGTTTTATTTTCCATTCATCATAAGTCAGTCATTAGTTCAAAAACTTAAAGAGTCTGCATTGAAAATCAGTAAAATAGAGAGATTGTCAACAGGATAGGGTTCAACTTTTAGTTTAATTTGACTAAATTTAATTCTCTTTTCTAGAAAATATTACGTGTAAAGCATAAATTCTAACTTGAAACAAATTCAGTAAGAAAGCAAATAAATTAATTAAAGAGTATTTCTCGCCCACCATTAGCTTGTGGGTGCAGTCTCGGAGGAAAAAATAAAATCTGAGTGTCATGTCCACAAATTACAATATAAAACTTTAAACAACACGAAGAAAGGAAGAAAACCAAGCTAAATATGGCAATAAAATTTATGCAGTCGATATATATTTACATATTAAAAAAGAATGTTCTTTGTTGTGGCCATGAAGAGATTAATAGTTTTGTGATTTGTTGCAAGTGAGTTTGCAAAATTTCAAAATTATTTTGATGCAAGTGAGCCTGCAAAGTTCAAAGTTATTTTGTTGTAATTGAGTTTGCAAAGTTTGAAGTTATTTTGTTGCACGTGGGTCTGTAAAGCTCGAAGTAATATGTACGACAATATATATGTTTGTGTGAAGCACACGCTAATGAAACGTGTGTGGCTGATTTCGTGTGATAGCAGTAATTTTAAAACAGTGACCAAGGAGAGTTGTTTTTATGGATTATGGTGAGTTGGTGATCGGCTCACAAAATCTATCTGATTGTTCGTGGGAACGTACCCCATGACCCAAGCCCTAACCTATTTCCAGGACATTTGGAGTTCAACCGTGCAGACGTCGTAGAGAGCATATCACATGACTTGTCATTTCCAATCAGCATCCAGAAACCGATTATTTAATTTTGGAGCTGTATTTTGTACAGAATTGTAATGCTTTTTCGTATCTATTGATTTTAGTAGAATTTATTTGTAAGTGCTTCTTACTTGTTTGTGCTTCACTCATTGGCCGTAAAATTTAGGAGTTTATATCCTTTTACACGGTTATTAGTTTTGAACTTCAATATATTTTTTATTTTGCTAATATATTTTTCATTACCGGAATACAGCAATGTTTAAACTTTAATGTTTACTAAGAACTTTCTGGTAGTATTCACACTCGACAGTATTAAAGTTGCTTTTATTTTTTGAGATTACAAATAATTTAATCTGAAAATTGCCTGGGGCAAAAAGCTTAGTTCCCACATAAATTTTATAATTACACTAAAATGTCACTACGTGTAGGTGTACTTAAAATGTTATGAAATGTAATTGAGTTTAAGAGATGAAAGTCATGTCCTTTAGAGTAAGAAGATTGTGTCTTTTAATTAATAATGTTAACACTAGTAATTAACATCATTTATATTAATTAAATGAAGTGGTTGACTAAAATTCTTCATGAAATTAATTAAAGTGCTTTTTTAAGATAAAATCAAATAAACTTATAAATGTTTAATTTTTTAAATAATGAAATGCTAACTAGTATTAAAAAATCTAGCTTAAAAGAACACCACATTTATTTCATTTTGATTAGGAAACCAAACTGATGTGAAGAAAGGGACAAGGCAAAGTATCATTATATATAAAAATTATATTCATCAATGAATACAATAAAGAATGTGTAAGAAAAAGCATGCAATGAGTAAGACGAGGGTTGTCTCTCTAAGTTCTCTGAAAAGGGTAAAGAGTTAATTGTTTGTTAATGTTTTTAATAGTTCTGTCGTGCAAAGGGAAAATATGCAAGGTGTAAAGGAATATGCAGTTTTGGGGCGTCTCCTCTTTTCTCTTGCTTTTATAGGTGATCATTGGATCAGGAGTGCTGCGCGGGAAGAATCATTCTCCACGTGCAGGGTATCTGATTGGTCGACACTGACCAATCAGTGAATGAGCTTTGGGGAGATTTCTGGGAGCCGATTCTCCCAAAAGTGCACAAAATCTACTATACGAAAGCATAGCGATTTCAAAATTGTCACATAAGATAGCTGCGTTGATTCATGTCCAATGAATGATTGCTATCGAAAATTTGAATTTGTGTAGGTATGTATGTGTGTGTGATGATGATCGCTATAACCTATTCGGTATATAGGCGATCATTGCGCATCACCACTTCTTTTTTTTAATTAAACAGTACATTGCTATGATGGTCCGTATGAAGATAAGTGGTTTTTCTTTGTTTTCTCGATAGTCTCGAATTGAGAGTTGTTCTCTCTTAGACTACTTGCCAACCAAAAGAACAATCTAATTTTCCCTGCTGAATTTGAGATTCATACCTTTTCTTAACATAAAGCGAATGCAATGACCTTTAGTCTGTTGGTTCCATTCAGTGTCAATAACCGGTACACTCCTCACTTTTTTAAATAATGAAATACAAAGTTAACTTTGTCTTACTCTTAGTCTTAACCATTTTGCTTAACCATTTTTTACCCGAGTCTAAATAATTGTTATTAATTTTTACTTTTTGCTAATGAATGAAATGATTGGTAAATTTTTATCTTTAGCCCTCTCTAATAATATTGCTAACTGTGGTTAAAAAAAAAAAAAAAAAATGATCTCATTGGCGTCTGTACGGAAAAAGAGTCTCGTGTGAAAGCTATTGTTTATTTTAAGCTGGCAAAAGAAATTAACGCGGAATCACGGCGTTCATAGGACGGGAGTTGAGAAAATAAGATGGAGTGTACGGAAGACGGAGAGAGAAGAGGAATTTAGTCTACAAAAAAAAAAAAAGCTAAAAATATGGAGTGTACGAAAGACGGTGAGAGAAGAGGAATTTAGTTTACAAACAGCAAAACAATACGTGAAATACATCTACGTTTTGTCACTCAGAATTAACGTCTGCTAAGGAATTTTAAGACAGTCTTTCGAATTTAAACTACAAACTATTTCGGCATATACATATAAAGCACCGTGACGGTATGGAGGGGAATCGAAGAGTAACTGTCGATATGGTGAAAACATTTAGTGGCGAAGGTTATTTGATGGCCTGGTTGGCGAAAGTGAAATTGGTAGCGAGACTGCAAAAAAATCCACGACCTCGCAAGTTTTATGTCTCTGTTTTTAGAAGGAGACGCCCTGGCATTGTATCTCCAATTGACCGATGAAGATCAACGGGATGCAAAGAAAATAGAGGCTAAGTTAAAAACAGCCTTTACGGACCGAGTTTTTTCTGCATATGCAAAACTAGTGAAGACGCGATGGAGCGGCGAAGCCGTTGATGTGTATGCAACGAAAATACAACGACTGGCAGAATTAGCAGGGTTTGAAGGAAGTGGACGAGAGCAGATCGTGAAGCTCACGTTTGTCAATGGGTTCCCGGAAAGTATTTCGGTACCACTACAGCAGTTGCCAAATGTGGAGAAACTAGAACTCAGTGAAATAATTTCAAGTGCCAGGGTGCTTACAGCCACTCGGAGACCAGAAGTAGTAGCGGTCGCAGAACGAGAACCTAAACAGCGTGATGGAAGAATGATCAAACCGTTTAGTGGCAAATGTTATAACTGCAAGGGTCCTCACTTGTTGAAATACTGTAGGGAACCAATCAAGGTGACCTGCTATGGATGCGGCAAGCAGGGACATTATGTAAAACACTGCCCACAGGGAAAAGATCAGGGGGCAACCGGTGCGCAGTTATTTGAAGAGAAGAGCAGAAGAAATCGATTGGGAAGACATAGTGGATAGTGAAACAACCGGTATGGTACGGGAAGTTGTGGAAGAAGTTCGACACCACGATCCGGTTCGAGGGAGATGGCATGTTCCCAAAATGGAAAAGGGTGTTGTATGGTGCGACGCAAGCAGTATGGCTACTGGTGTATGTATTGAGATTGATGGTGCGATAGTCGAAGATGCGGCGTGGCTAAGAAAGAAACGTGACTACAACCATATCAACGTTGCTGAATTGGATGCTACGATAAAGGGTGTAAACCTCGCATTGAAATGGGGTCTAAAAAAGATTGAAATTCGAACTGATTCGGTTACTGTCCGCAGTTGGATTAGTCTTACGATAACAGACGAAAAAAGGATCCGTACAAAAGGAGCGACAGAGCTAATTATCATGCGACGTTTGGGGATTCTGAGGGAAATGATTGATGAATTTAATTTAAAATTGAGTGTAACATTGGTGCCCTCTGACAGAAATAAGGCCGATGCTCTAACCAGAGTGAAAAAAAGTTGGCTGAAAGTAGAGAAAGCTATTACAGCAACGTGCCGTGCAGGCCGAGATGAGGTCAAGGAGTTGCACGGACTGCATCATGTAGGAGTGGATAAAACACTATATCTAGTACGGAAAGTCTATCCGGAGGTGTCAAGAGATACTGTACAGAAGGTGGTTAGAAGCTGGTATCGTTGTCAATCAATCGACCCGTCGCCAAATGTTCACGAATTAGGAGAGATCCAAGTAGACACCAATTGGACCAGATTATCTATCGATGTGACGCATTATAGAGGTGAAATGTACCTGACTATAGTTGATTATGGCCCTGGCCGGTTCGCCATTTGGAGGGAGATTCGAGCAGCAACGACAGACATCATTGCGAAGGAGCTGGAGGAAATTTTTTTCGAGCGTGGACCAGTTGAAGAGGTACTCATGGACAATGGGGCAGCGTTCCGTTCGGAAGTTTTTCGGTCAATGTTGGATAAGTGGAACACTAGGCAATATTATAGAGCAGTGTACAGGCCTAGTGGAAATGGTATCGTAGAACGAAACCACCGAACTATAAAAGTCATTGCCGAGAGAGGAGGGATATCGCCTGCAGAAGCAGTATTTTGGGATAATATGTCGACTAAATCTGGCCAACGTGAAGACACTGTGCCGCACAGAGCAGTTTACACATACCAATGGAGACATCCTAGAGTTGCACCATGTTTAACACGCTCTGACAGCCCTGAATCTATACAGATTGGAGAGGAGGTTTGGGTCAAGCATGACAAAATGGACAAGAGGAATGGTTACCGGGGCACAGTCGCGCAACAATGTTGAGGTGGACGGTATGCCAAGGCATATTCTTGACCTAAGAGTGATTCAAGAGGATTTAGAGAATGAAGGAGAAAATTGGAGAAGTTCTCATGAGGCTCAGCCCCAAACACTGCGGAAATCACAAAGAGAGCGACACCGGCCCAGATGGAAGGATGATTATATAACGTGAGATGTGATCATGAGATCAGGGGTGGGGGCCGTGTGGTTAAAAAAAATGATCTCATTGGCGTCTGTACGGAAAAAGAGTCTCGTGTGAAAGCTATTGTTTATTTTAAGCTGGCAAAAGAAATTAACGCGGAATCACGGCGTTCATAGGACGGGAGTTGAGAAAATAAGATGGAGTGTACGAAAGACGGAGAGAGAAGAGGAATTTAGTCTACAAAAAAAAGTTAAAAATATGGAGTGTACGAAAGACGGTGAGAGAAGAGGAATTTAGTTTACAAACAGCAAAACAATACGGGAAATACAACATCTACGTTTTGTCACTCAGAATTAACGTCTGCTAAGGAATTTTAAGACAGTCTTTCGAATTTAAACTACACTAACTACACTAAACTTTATCTTAACTTCTACCGAACCCTGTAGCGGTTGTTTACATACACCACGCCCACAAAATACTCTATAGCCATTGGATAGAATATAAGCACTATTTTCTATAGGACAATTTATGGATCGCATGAGCCACATCAAATTTTCTGATGTTTACTTTGCCAAATCTGGTTTTGAAAAAAATCAGTGATTGGTTGATTTTTGACCAATAATATAATATAACACTCCTTTCAATATTTTTCCCGCTCTCGTTCCTGGAGCCTATTCAGAAAATATAAGTAACAGTAACACGAAAATCAAAGAAAAGAACAGTAGTAGAAACAGTAAATCTCCAGAGCTCAAACACGTACGTGAATTCTCATTCTTCTACTCACACACACAGACACAAAATTACAATTGCACTACGCTGTGAACTGTCTGTCCAAAAAGCCAAGTAACCAACTCAGAATTCAATCATTCTTTTGTACAACTTTCTCATACTTAAACTCAGTTATCAGCTGAACTCTAAACATTTTAAACAAGTTCTTTTAACACATATTTACAATCTCACATCAGTACAAGGGGAACTACTTCCTCTTTCTTAACTTTGTTTCACCAAACTCAATTGTTGTACTCGCTTGTTTTTCAATACATGTTATTGTTGATCACTGAATAATCTCTTGTTATTCCTTCTTTGTGTTTTTTGGTAAAATTTAAATGTGATGTGCTAATCAAAAATGCAACCTTCACCAAAGCCTTCTTAACAATTTTATACCAAATCTCATTAGCACGCCACAACCCTAATTCTGCCGAGATCTAAAAGAGCATAATAGTCGGGGATGAGACGGGCGTAATAATTAAGTAAAAAATAGCCAAATGATCTTTAAGGGCTGAAATATGAAAAGATCAAAGAAAATTTAAAATGCTACCGCATTCCATTGTAAATGTACAGTACACGCAGTACACCATATTACTAGTTTAAGGGATGTGAAGACATATAGGCATTTTTTTTTGTATATTAGATAAACTGAACACATCTCTCTTCTTAATGAATATTTACAAAAATCAGAAAAAGGAAAAATAAAGGATTTTTATTTGTGTAATTTCAAAAAATTTAGTTTATTTTGAAAATAGTAGAAATATAATTTTACTATCATGCATTAATTTCTTTTTCAAAGAATGCAAATTGATTTTTAAATAAAAAATCGAGTATCATGCAAATGAAAATGGAAAAAAAAACAAAAAAAAAAAAACGAAAAAAACTCGGAGGTTAAAAACAAGCCATAGAAGACGCTCTTTGAAGCAGACGATATTGTTGCTGCCGGAACTTGTACTATAATTTTTAATTTACTTCACTGTTGACCATCTGAAATGGACAACTTCAGTCATGCAGAACAGAATTCACGACTGGTCGAAATGAGCAAGAAGCTGGAATATTTAATCGATCAATTGTTAAAAACCCGAGTCCGTTGCCATATCCTCGAAGTAGAACTGTGTACTCAGTTCAGTCCCTATTTAATGGAGGCTGCGCATAATGCTCAGATCAATTGTGAAGAATGTTCACAGCAATTTAAAGTACTTTTTGTTCCTTCTAGAGAACAACAAGAAATAGATACGTTTCTTTCATCGAATCTCCCTATTTACCCTCCAGAAACTAAATGTAACAAGACAACTACACAAAATAGCATTGGGGAATGAGAGAGTCTCTAACTAACTCTATCTTTAAGAAAAAGCTACCGAAGAAGTATTTTGTCACGTTTGTCGGGTGTTCATATTAAAAAAAAAAAAAACCCAAAAACGAATGAACAGTGTTTTTAAACAAAATAGTTAAAATGTTTTTTTTTTAATTTGTTTCCTGTTTGTAAAACTTTAAATTTAAAACAAACCTTTAACAATGTTGTTAGTTTTTTTTTTTTTTTAAAGAAAACAAAAAGATCGAAAAATACGATCAAAACAGCTTTCATTGAAAAAGTCACTAGCTATTTCGAACAATAATCACTTACAAAATAGCCAAATAAGACTTTATGAAAATAAAACAAATGCTCTTTTGAATACACTTGTCATTTTTTGGTAATTTCCTTTCTGTTTTTTTTTTTGTTTTGTTTTTGTGATATGTCTTCTGATTTCTACAATCTAAAAATATTAGCAATTGTAAGAACATTCGTGGAGAAAACAAATCAATATGTATGATCTTTTTAGTTTTTACAATTCGGAAATTGATTTTGTTATGACCGTCATTCGTTCTTGATAATGTTATCTAAATTCTTAAAAAATACCAAAAAACGAAACAAAAAAGGTAGAAAGAAAAACATTGAATTTGCAAATCTCAATTAAAAATTGTTTTCATTTATAAAAAAAAATGTTGATTTATTTTTATTAATAATTATTGTTATTTCATATTTTTAGCTATCCAAGTATGTAAAATTATCTTTGCCAAGTCATTTTTTACAACAAAAAAAAGGTAATCAGAATTTTTAGTTTCGCATATAGTTTTTTTTGTTTTTTCGTGTTCTTTTTCATATCATCCAAAATGGATTGTAAAACTAATAAATTTGTTTTGAAATTAAATTTCACATTGATTGATTTTTTTGTATATAATTAATACAATTTTTATTTTTATTAAGTATACCAAAAATGATTTAAATTTTTACAATTTGGTTACTTGGATACGGTTTTTAGTTCATCCTATAACAATTATTCTGATATTACCAAATTTGGCAACAAAAAATCTATACGTACCTTTGTCTTTCTTTACTCTTTCCCAATGAAAATAAAACAATCAGAGTTCACGCTGCTGTGTCCACAGTTACATTTCATGCTGCTTTACATACATGAAAATAAAACATTAGTCATGAATAGTTCTGAATAAATCTAGTAGTACCGGTGAGGATAAAACTAACAGGCACAACAGAGGCCATATTTATGCAATTATAACACTATTGCTTTTTCTTTTCTTTTTTTTTTGCTGCAAGCCAGTGTTGGAATTTTATTTGAGAACAATATTTTACAAGTTCACATTCTCGCTATTTTTTCTATCCTCACTCCAACCGCTTTTTACTTTCCAAACCGGCTCCCAAAGCCTTGATTCTTATCAGAGATAAGAATATATTTTCTGACTAATGAGAGAGCTGGAAAATATAAAAAGGAATTTCATCACCATTATTCTTTTCATGGTGCCATAAAGTCTGGAGGAAACCTGACAGCTTGTTCACTCCAACCTGTTTTCATTACCTTCAAAACCAGCTCCCAGGGCCCTGATTCTTATCAGAGATAAGAATATATTTTCTGACCAATGAAGGGGCTAGGAAATTTGTTCAACAATTTTGGAGGGAAAAGTCCCCCGATTCTTCGGAGCCTACCAAATCTTCATAAAATTTGGAGAATCTTTGCCTATTTGGCAGTGAGACTTTTGTGTTGATATTTAGTTTATGTTTGACTATTGGGTTCATCCCACCTCCCCTCTCATATTTAATCACCCATAATTGTATATATGTATTTTATTATCATTAAATTTTTAATATCATGGGGTGCATTTTTTGTAGGTCCCCCGGAG